CCGGGCGTGGTAGCGTGCACCTATAGTTCCAGCTACTTGGAAGGCTGAGGCGGAAGGATCGCCGGGGCCCAGCAGGTCGAGGCTGCGGTGGCTGGGAGCGGCCACTGCACTCCAGTCTGGGCGACAGAGCGAGACTCCAACTAAAAAAAAAATAAAAAAATTTAAAAAGAGAATGAAAAACTACCTAGACTGTCACCATCCTAAAATAACAGCTATACATTTTCTTCTATTTTTTTAAAGAGTGAGTTTACTTCATTGCTATTAGAGTATCCTTACAGTATTGTAGCCAGCTCTTTTTTTGTTGTTAACTTACTGTTATGACATAAGTATCATTTTAAAATTTTGTTTTAAAGTAAATACTAGAGACAGGGTCTCACTATATTGCCAGGCTGGTCTCAAACTCCTGGGCTCAAGCAATCCTCGGGCCTCGGTCTCCCAAAGTGCTGGGATTACAGGCATGAGCCACTGCACCCAGTCAAGAAACATCATTTTTTGATATGTGTATTCTAACATATTTAACCAATCCCCTGCTGTTGGGCCATTTAGATAATTCCACTATTTGGTCATTACCCACAATGCTGAAATGAGTATCTTTGTGTATAGAACTTTCCCTTCTCTCGGCTCATTTCCTCAGGAGCTTTCCCAGATGTGGGCTGACTGAATCACACATGAGTCCTCGTGTGGCTGCTGCCAGTAACTTCCCCAAAGGGTTGTAGCAACTAAAATCACCCGCTGAAGTCACAGGCACAGCTGTGCTTGCAAGCATTTATTTCACCACACACTAAAAAGCGTTGAGTAGCCTGTGTTTAAAAACAAGTTTTGCTACTTTAATGAGCAAATAATAGCTCATTGTTTTAATTTGCATTACTTGGGTGATTGAAAACTTTTAACAGGTCATCTTATTTCTTGTCTTTTCAATTGTTTTTTAATTCTAAAGAAATATACTTGTTAGTTTTTGTTTTGTTTTGCTTTAGTTTTGTGTGAAGTAAAAAGCACAAATTTCCCCTCCTTACCCTCACCACTGATCTCACAGGTAATAGAGGCATGCTCCTTCACTATCTTTTTAAATGAACTTCATTCCTACAACAAGTATGTGTTGAGACCACTTAGGTGCCACGCACTCAGCTAGGCACTGGGGATAAAAAAGAGAATCAGATAGACATGGTCTCTGGTCTCATGGGACTTAAATCTAGTCAGAGACACAGTCAAAACACAAGGAAGCAAAGGAATAGAACAAAGTAGGCCAGGCACAGTGGCTCACGCCTGTAATCCCAGTACTTTTGGAAGCTGTACTGAGAGGTTTGCCTGAACCCAGACGTTTGAGACCATCCGGGGCTGGCCTATAATAAATAGACGAGAGAGAGAGAGAGAGAAGCAAGATCCAGGGCTGGCCTATAATAAATAGATAGATGAGAGAGAGAGAGAGAGAGAGAGAGAGAGAGAGGAGCAAGCTGGGTTTGGTGGTGTGCACTTGTAGTCCCAGTCATTTGGATGGCTGAGGTGGAAGGATTGCCTGAGCCAAGAGGCTGAGGCTGCAGTAACTATGATTGCGCCCCTGCACCCAGCCTTGGCAGCAGAGTTAGATTATGACTCAAAAACAAAACAAAACAAACAAAAAAACTCCCATAAATAACCACAATTTGTGGTAAGTTCTATGAAGAAAACAACAACAACAAAAATAGGGAGAAAGACTGGGTGCCATGGCTCACACCTATAATCCCAGCACTTTGGGAGGCCAAGGTCAGAGGATCACTGGGGTCCAGGAGCTTACGATCAGCTTCGGCAACATAGTGAGATTCCATCTCTACAAAAAATTTAAAAATTAGCTGGACATGGTGGCACATGCTTATAGTCAATTCAGGAGGCTAAGGTGGAAGTATCACCTGAGCCCAGGAGGTCGAGGCTGCAGTGAGCTATGATTGTATCACTGCACTCCAGCCTGGATGACAGAGCAAGACTTCCACTCAAAACAAGCAAACAAACAAACAGGGAGGGGTCTTCCTTTGGCATGACTGGTCGGAAAAGGCCTCCCTGTGGTGTGGCATTTAGGCCAAGACTTGGAGGGAGATGAAGGGGCCTGCCAAGGGAAGCTGGGAAGAACATTTCAGACAAAGGAAGAAGCATGTGCAAAAGGCCCTGAGATTGAAAAGCACTTGGTGTGTTTAGAGAACAGAGAGGAGATAAATACAGTTAGAGCACGTGGTTATCATAAAAGAGAGTGGCACAGGACAAGGAACAGTAGGAAGTAATGAAGATTTGACATTTTGCCTTTAAAGATCCCTTTGGGTCTGGGCATCGTGGCTCATGTCTGTAATCTAGCTTGACCCCAGAGGTTTGAGACCCATCTGGGCAACATAGTGAGAACTTGTCTTTAAAAAAAAGATCACTTTGGCTACTATGTGGAGCACAATTGAAGGTGAACAAGCAGGAGCCGGGCTCGGCGGCTCAGCCTGTAATCCCGCACCTTTGGGAGGCTGAGGTGGGTGGATTGCCTGAGCCCGAGGGTTCTAGACCCGCCTGGGCAGCGAGACCTCACCTCTACAATAAATCAAAAAATCAGCCGGGAGTGGTACCGCATGCCTGTAATTCTGGCT